GGAGGTGCGGTGGCAGGGGAGGGGTGTGCGGCGGCGGCGACAGGTCAGGGTGGGGGTGCAGCGGCGGCGCAGGTCGGGGTCGGGGTGCGGCGGCGGCGCAGGTCGGGGTGTGGGGGAGAGAATGAGTGGATCGGGGTCGCCGAGCGAATGGATAAGGTGAACTATGCCGACGGCAGGCGCCACGTGGCACCTATGCCGACGGCTTAGCCGTAGGCATATTTTTTTCTTTTTTATTATCCACGTCACCGATCCGCGTAGAAGCTTTCGTATGGCCGCAGCTATGCCGCCGCCACCACCACCACCACCACCACCACCACCACCACCACCACCCTGGATAAATCTGTAAAATAAGGCATACAAGTGAGAAAACATTCTCTCACATGCAAATGCAAAGAAAATAGAGTATTTTCCTATGCATAGATTTATTTACAAATAGTTTCATTATTGCTACACTATTAACTACTATTTTATTATAGATGGACAACACATTGTGATAGAAAAATACAATATTATTTAGTTATTTTGACATTTATGTTATTTTCAACTTTTCCAATGATTTTCTAGGTTGGCATGGAGCCGAGGTTGGTTCATGCTCGTAGCAATTGACTAGTACTCAGTATGTTGAGTGACAGAATTGAAAGGTTATGTATTATGTATGGATACAATGGGAAAAATGACACTTACATGCCAGCCAACTTGAATCGAGTTAATGCTTGATCTAGCACCATCTCCAGTATGAGTAACCCAAATTGCAGCTGTACTCCACTGTCCGGGTTTTAGTTTGTGACCGTACACATCCATCGTGGCATGTAAGCCATAGTACTTGTCATCACGACCTCTAGTAGATGTTTGGTGTATAGCAAACTGCGCAACAAAAGCTCTCATAGAAACAACATACACAACAGCTAGGGAAAAGGATGAGGAAAACATGCAATTATAACACTGTACAAATGCAGAACTCTTAAACCCAAGAAACAAATCCAAAAGTAAGGGGGTATGTTCGCTGTGGAGGAAGATGAAGTCATAAAGAGCTTCTTGAAAATGTGTGAATGAAGAAATAAACAAAGAAAAATACAAAAGGTAGGGTTGGAGTAGTTCGTTTGAGTTATTACATGGATCCAGGAGCAATTATACCAACTAAGTTACTTATCTCACTAACATGTCAAGAAGAAACCTTGGTCGTGTGATGTTTCTCCAGTGGAACTCGCTCTGTGTTTCTCTGGAAAACTTCATGACATCTTTTCAAATAGTGAAAACTTAAAATGCTTATATAAATCCCGCAACTATGCCACTACAAAATGGTCTTACATGCCTCAAATGGTTAACACAAAAGTAACCACCCACATATATAGTAGACAATGAAGAATAAACAAGACACTAATACGACAATATTGGGTGGCTGGAAAGAAATAAACCGGTGAATAAGGAGGAGTGGAAGTGCGAAATCAAGAAAGCAATATGAAAGCACATAGCTATACGCAGTGTGCCACATACCACAATGTCCTCGATCTTCTCTCCACAAATAACAAGATCCTTACCCATAAATTGGGACACTTGGTGGATATATTTTCACTAAGAACTGATCGTGCCTCATCAATATGTACATATTGTCTACACAGATTTTTAGTATTTTGAATGATATATTACTGTAACTGTAGTGGTGAATGGAATTAACAACCAGTTTGGATGGTGCCAAATAAGAAGCCAACAATAACACGTAATAACTTTTTGCAAGGTGCATTCCAATAGTTTTTCTGTAATTTTACTTGTGTACATATGCATACTAATATATAAAATTTTAATTTGATAAATATGCTGAAGCAAAAACAAAGAAACCAATAGATCTAGATATGAAAATGTGCAAGTAATTAAGTAAAGTAAGTGAAGATAAAGGTGTAACTCACATATGGTGCATCCCATGAACTAGAATCTTTTCCAAAAGTTATTGCTTCAATGGGGTTTGACTTCAAGCTTTCCATATTTTGTTTTGCTAGGCCATGGATGATATCATATGCTATTGAATCATTTCCCTTCAACTAAAATAGTAAGAATGTGTTAAGAGGGACATAAATCATAGGACACATCCATGGTAGAATCAAGAACTCGATAGCTAATGCAAATATCAAAGCTGAATTATTTATTCTTATGATATTAATG